TATTGAAATGATCCCATTCTGAACATTATGCCCCTGGGTAATGATTTTTAAATGGCTACTAGAATCTTGGCAGATGTCCAGGGTGAACATCCCAAGATATTTGGGCAGAACTAAATCAGCGCTCCAACAAGAAGCACAATAAAGTCAGCACAGCTGGTGTCTCTCCTTGTTGCCCTGCAACAAGAAACACAGCTGCAAATGGAACAGCCTGGGGCCTTAGAGATTAGAGGAGAAAAAAGAAGACACGAAAAAGATTAGAGATGTTTCAATACATTTCCAAGGAAAAAGAACTTTGCAAATTTTAAGGATCGGACAGCAAAATACTCTCCTTTTTTTAGCTGAAAAAATGAATTTGTTATCTTGAACCTACAGTTTATTAAATGTATACTCATAATTCTGTTAAAATACAGTCTTTTATTCTCTCTCTCATAAATGAAAAATTACTATTTCCTGTCACAACCTGTTAAATGTTTTTAAATGGTATTTAATGATAGGTATACTTTACTAATATACAGAAGAGTTAAAAAATTATATATTTTCATACAGAAACATTTATTTGAAAAAGAAAGTAGTAAAGTTTATGTTCTGCCATATATTCTATATATTTATAGTATCTCTACGTATATAATATGAAATAATATTCTATATATTTTTCTGCATAAATCGGACCAAATTCATATGTTAGTTTGAAATAAAGTTTATGTTATAATTTATTAAAACAACTTTTAGATTTAAAGCATTTAAAAAAATTAGAATGATTGCGATAGAAACAAATTTAAGTTCATACAATTATATAAACCAACTCTATGGTTCCCCTATTTTGGTGCTTATCAGACACCATATTGAAATTTTCCATTTGTATGTCTGCAGCTTCCTCAAAGATACTGCTCTTGTTTTATTTACCATTTTATTACTAGTCACTATCACAGCTCTCAGCACATAAAGTGCATTTACTCTCTCTCTCTCTCACTCAAGAATTGGATAAATATAAGGAGAGAGATGTTTTAATGATTCAAAACTGAATTAATGTGTATATGGTAAAAAAGTACTCTGATCAGGCATCATATGTTGATAAAAATTTTGTTGTCACCTACTTACATTATTGTCTTTAGTTAGTATTAGAAACCAGTATATGTTTAAATGTTAGTCTTATAAAGATGATTTTTATTACAAATTTAGAACAACTTATACCTTTCTTACCAGATAGACTCACAACCTAGTGTTTATAAGTAAACCTCCAGCAATGTGTGTGTGTGTGTGTGTGTGTGTGTGTGTGTGTGTGTGTATTTCCTTCAGATATGTTCTGTACATGTACAGGCATATTCTGCAACATATCTGTATTCTCTAACAAAACTGAGCTATCTTAGTATCACAGAAGAGAAGCCTGGATATTGATTAGATAACTTCCCCAAAGGGAAGAAGCATGATCCCATATATTTGTAATAAATGTCATATTTCTTTGTATATGCGTATAGTCCAGTAGGGCAGGCAGAACACTAACTGCCATAGATCAGCAGATACCTTGTCTATCAGAACTGGGAGAAAAGATTCTAATTGTCCCTTGCCTCAGATCTCCCCTGTAATAGCTTACAATGGAGACTGGCAAACTTTTGTGCTTTTCAGTAAATGCACAGAAACAGAGAGCAGGACAGATTTGTTTCCCCTGCCCTTGTCTGCAGACCTTTGCCCTACAATATCACCAGCTTTTTATTTCTAAAATCAGAGTTGGCCAGGCACAGTGGCTCACACCACTAATGGCAGCACTTTGGGAGGCCCAGAAGGGCTGATCATTTGAGACCAAGAGTTCAAGACCAGCTTGGCCCACATGGCCAGACCCCATATCTACTAAAATTACAAACTTTAGCCAGGCCTAGTGGCCCATTCCTGTAACCCCAGCTACTTGGGAGGCTGAGGCATGAGAACTGCTTGAACCTGGGAGGCAGAGGTTTAAGTGAGCAGAGAACATGCCACTGCACTCCAGCCTGGGCAACAGAGCAAGATTCTGTCTAAATTAAAAAACAAACAAAAAAAAAAATCAGGGTTAATGCAAATATCACTCATTCTTAAGAACACAATGTGAAGTGAGTTACAATATGTATTACATGTTATTACCATAAATTTTATGTGTTTCTTTTCCTACAGTAATGAGCATACATAAACACACACACAAGCATATGGATAAAATATAATTTCTAATAATCAGCTTATGGTTTCCCATAAAGTAACTCTTTCAATAGAATCTTGCCTGAAACCACATAGTACAGAGAGTTGAAACTTACTCGGTCTTGTCCTTTTTCTCTACTACTTTCAGATATTAAATTTTTGTCCCTCAACCATACTCATCTCAGTAAGAGAACTTAAGAATGTTAACTTTTCACCATTCCCATCTTTCTTCTGAAACCCCAGATGAACTTTTGACTGTCCTCAGCTCACAGCGTTTTCTTCAAAAATTACTCTATGCCTCGTGATTCTCACATAGATTAAGTTACATCTTTTTACAGTATTTCAAAAAATATCCATTCATATTAACTCAGTGTTCAAACACACACACACACAAACACACACACACACACACACACACACACCCCTATTCCAGAGTTCACTGATAACTTTTTTCTTCTCCTTGTCATTTTCCTTTACTTTTAGACCTCTATTCTGATTTATTTCAACTATTTTTTAATTTCAACTATTTTCTCAAATGTTTTTCTAAATTAGATAGGAGAATAATAGACCTTCCACATCCATCTCCAAATATTTATTTTGTCCTAGCAGATGGATCATATTTGTCTAAACAATAGATCTGGGGTTTCAGAGTTTTCTCTGTAAGGCCATAAATGGGACTCAACTTTCTATCAGATTCCTCTATTTCATGTAATAAATGTAAGGGGAACATAATTATTTTTAGTCATAGCTAATTTTTAAAAATCTGATTGTTTATAAAATTTTCTTTTTTTCATTAGGCTGTGAAACCTTATCAGGGTTTTCCTGTTTGATTCTTATTCTATTAACTCTTTCTGGAACTCAAAACTATTAAACTTGTAAAGTCAGTATATTGTTCACTTCAACAAAAATTATGATTGTTCCTTTCCTCCATTTGCTCTTTATTTTTCTCTAGGAATACATGTTATTCACACAAAAGGCCAAATGAATATGTTCTCTAAATCTCCTTTCTCTTCCCCACGATATCCATAATTTTATGCTTTTGTTCAATGGCTATTAGCTACTTCTTCTAGTCAGGTATGATTTTAGGTACCAGAACAATCATTCGAGTCTAATCAGTGACCATTCATGTCTTCAATCTATATGTTCATTTTCTTTATTGTTGTTATTTACTTATTTGTTTAAAGCAAAAGGCTTTGAGTTACAGAAATCTGTTTGTGGTATTCACAAAAGCCCTCCAGTGCTCGTATTAGCTACTGTTTAGTACACTGTCTTTCTGGGTAATTCCTGCTCCACCTGTTTTTCTTTCTAATGCTTTACCCACTATGATTATGACAGTTTCCTTTGTGCTACTTGGGGCTCTTACCTGTTCTGGAAATAGCTCACCAGGGGCATTCTCACAAGTTGGGGGCACCATAGAGCTCTTTGCCTTCCTAAGTCAGAAAATTAGATTGGTGGGTGTCAGTGCCCTGATGAGGCAGAGAGAATTCTGTCCTTGAGTTCCCATGCAAACTCTCACCCATGAGGGTTAATCATGCTGAAGCCTTTAATTCCCTTGACTCTCCTTGTAGATAAATAAGCCTGAGAGTATTCTGGGCCTTTCGTAGGCTTCTGCAGGTTGGTTCCTGTGTTCTGCTGTGGTCCAGAGAGAACGAGTTTGGCAATTGCTTTCTCCCCTGAGACTTCAGCTATGAAGAAGACCTCACTATCTCTTCCTTACCAGCCCCTACAGCGGCTACAGGAGCTACATTCCTAGCTGAAGAAGACCAACATGAGCTGGAATCTGGAGTTGAGAATAAAAGATGCTACCATCTTCCATTAAAAAAAAATGTCTATCTATCTATCTATCTATCAATCATCTATATTTCAAATTCACAGGCTGATTTGATTAGTGACTATAAAAACTGTAATCTAAAACAATACTCACATATATGCAGTAGAATTAAATATATAAAATCTTTACTCAATAAATGTGTTACAAAGCTTAGAGTCTCACAAAGATAGTCAAAAATTATCGTAGAAGAATGTTATTTTAATTACGTTTTAAAAATTATCACATTGAATGAAAAATAAACAAAAATAAATTAAAATAGCTACACCACAGAAACCGGTGAGTGGTGGAAAATCCCCACACCATTAGAGGACTCAAGCCCTGGATCAGATTGTATTGGCTGCAGTGCGGGCTTTGCATTCAGTTGAATCTGGAATAATGCCTCCTTGGCTATTTTCTAAATATGTGAATTTGTAGAAGTGATTGAAATATTTTATGCCAGTTTGCATATGTTTAAAATGATATTCAAAATACTTCACAGGTTATCATATATTTTTAAATAAATATGGTATGTAAATACTTAGGAATATCTGAAAAGTTTTATTGGTTAATGTAGTAACAACTCCTATTAATGGTATTATAAGTTGGCCATACACTAAAAGCTTAAAAGACCTGGAGACACAAATTTCAGACACGCTATAGTCATTTTTCTGTGCAAATAATCAAATTGAATGTGTTGGTATGTTCTTAACAATATATATGCAGAACTTACGTGATAGAAGAATCATATCAATTAAGCAAGTATTCCAGGTGTTTTTCAATTTATAAATGTTTCTTTCCCCTTGATATCCAACTACCCTTAAATGATTAGAAATTAATTTCAATGAATATTATAATTGCTAGGTTCAATAGTTTTTAACACTTTATGCCATAAAAATACTAAGATATTTTGAAATTGCATATTTATAGCCCCTTCAGATACATATGCAAATAAAAATTGGTCTTCTAAAGATGTCTCTGATTTTCAAAAACATGTTAATTGCACAATCATAAAAATGATTTTTCTTACCCATGTCTGACATTTCAGGCACAGTAACAATGTATGGTCCATCTGTGAATTTTGGAGCATTGTCGTTGATGTCTTGCACTTTGATGATGAACTCAGATTCAGGTTCAAGAGGTTTGTTTGTACGTCTGTCAATAGCTTGAGCATGAAGCACATAGTGGGTCTTCTGCTCTCTGTCTAGGCTTTTTGTTGAGTGGATATCACCCGTGGTATCGTCAATGATAAATATAGTCCCAGCACCCTCTCCAGTAAGGATGTACTTGACAGATCCATCACCTTTGTCAGAATTGGAGTGCAGCTGTGAAATACACATGGAATAATTTAGCATGTATTTATATTTCAACCTCACATTATGTTTTCTGAAAACTCCCTATCTATAATTACTTTGACTATGACTTTTCTTCCCTTTACAGCAAGCTGTGTGCTACTATTATATTTACTTTTGTACAGTTTTTTTTGACTTGCTTAATAATATGGATATTGCCATCATGGTTTGTCTAAAAGATCCAATTATTGATTTAAGAAAAACTAATAAACAATATTTATTAAAACAAAATTAGCCCCTGCAATTTTACCAAATCAACATTCCACTAACTACAATAAAGTTGGGAAAATAAATTTCTAGTACATTACTGTGTCCTTCCATACCTGTGAAAAAAATGTATTTTGTTTTAATTATTTGACATCCTGTTTCAATTTTGAGACTAAAACAAAACTATATGGTAGGACAATTGGAGGTTCAAATTAATTATGAACATTTTCATAAAACATATTTAAGTCATAGTCGCAGTTATGTATTTAATAATTTGGAAAAAAATGAAATCACTTCTAATATAAAAGACTGATGTAGAATACAAAAAAAACTAGGGATAGAGGATATTTTTATTTAAGGACTATATAACTTAACTCAAAATTTAAATAGTAGTAACATATTTAGTCCATAAATAGGCTCTCATTTTAATTAATTAAAATACAGTAACAAATCCACATTTATTGAAATTAAAATGATCAAATATTATTTGAATAGATATTAGAAAAGTAATGATTCATTAGAGGCTTTCAATAAGAAAAATCCCTAAAATATTAAGATAATACACTTTGTTGTCATGCAAACAAAGTATATGCTTTAAACTGCATCTAGTTTTTACTTAATAATCTGCTGTAACACCAAGATTCACTTACATAGTTTCATGTGTGCCAGTGCTATATTTCTAGCTAGAAATAACAGCAGTATTTTCTCAGATCACAAATACATTTTTAAAAGATTGTTTCTCTCAAGTGGTCTGAGCAGTTATCCTTTATATTAAACCTTTTTGGTCACATAACCTCTATGACTTACCTTTTTCTCATTTCTGCCACGTAGAAACACTGAAAAAACACAACCTTGTTCACATAGAATTTCAGTTTTCTTGCCATAGTAACGTGAAAATTTTTGAGGTTTTAAAGTCTGAACTCTCAGAAGACATTTGGAAAAGGCCAGATACAGAAAAAGACAATGCAATATGAGAAAAAGACTTTTTCTGGAAAAATTAGGGCAACTGAAATCCAAATGATAGTAGGGGAATAATTTTACTTCTTTCTTGAAAATGTGAAAAATTACAAGGACAAAATTTTTGAGAGAGATCACAGAGTAAGATCCAACAAATAAAACCGTTTACAAATGCTTATTTAGATCTTTTATATAAATGAGCAAAAATACATCAGCCAATTATGAAAAACACAGCTTTCAAGGATTCACACTTCATTAGTAAATTGGATACTAAAAGAAGAATGCAGAATAAATTGAGTGATATAATTGTATAGATGTATGAAAATGTGTTTGTTTATTTATATAGCTTAACAAACTTTCAGTATCTAGAACAAAAGATTCATCTTTCATGAAGCAGATACCCACAAAGTATCAGTAGAGGAACCTATTTCATATTCTGTAACTTTGCATCAATCCATGACCAAAACATAGCAAAGTAAATCAACAAATTCATTTACCAAATGTTTCAAAGCCTTTTCTAGAATATTTGTCATTAAACTAACAAAAGGTGAGATTGTTTGGTAATTATTATGTTGTTATACTATACATAATTTATAAATCTACATTTTGTAGTTATAACTATTTAAAACATTTTTTCAGAATGTGTTATGCCTTTAACAATTTCAAGAAGTATAACAATGATGAAAATTGACTTTCATCTTCAGGATATATATGGGAGATTCAACACAAAAATATCATTGCATAGGCACATTGTTATATGTTGTGGCAATGCATACTTTTTCTAAAGTTAAAATGAAGGAAAGAATCCTAGGAGCTGTGAGACAAAAGCACCAGCTATCCTGCAAAGAAAAATCTATGAGATTAACAGCAGATTTATCAGCATAAACCCTAGAAGCTAGGAAGAACTGGGGCCTTATTTTCAGCTTCCTCAAACAAAATAATTATAAGCCAAGAATTTTGTATCCCATGAAACTAAGCATAATATATGAAGGAAAGATACAGCTTTCTTTTTCAGACAAACAAACGCTGAGAGAATTCGCCGCTAACAAGTCACCAGTACAAGAACTGCTAAAAGGAATTCTAAATCTTGAAGCAAATCCTGGAAACACATCAAAATAGAATCTCTTTAACAGAACCTCATAAATCTCACAGGACCTATAAAACAAAGCACAATTAAAAAAAAAAAAAAAAACAAGGTACACAGGCAACAAGTAGTATTATGAATGGAATGGCACCTCACATCTCAATATTAACATTGAATGTAAATGGCCTAAATGCTCCACGTAAAAGATACAGAACTGCAGAATGGATATACACAACTACAGAATGGATAAGAATTCGCCAACCAACTATCTGCTGCCTTCAAGAGACTCACCTAATACATAAGGACTCACATAAACTTGAAGCAAAGAGGTGAAAAAAGACATTTCATGCAAATGGACACTAAAAGTGAGCAGAAGTAGCTATTCTTATATCAGAAAAAATAAACAAACTTTAAAGTACCAGAAGTTAAAAAAGACAAAGAGGGAAATTATATAATGTTACAAGGCCTTGTCCAACAGGAAAATATTACAATCCTAAACATAACTGCACCTAACACTGGAGCTCCTAAATTTATAAAACAATTACTAATAGACCTAAGAAATGAGACAGACAGTAACACAATAATAGTGGGGGACTTCGATACTTCACTGACAGCACTAGACAGGTCATCAAGACAGAAAGCCAACAAGGAACCCGGATTTAAACTATACCTTGGACCAAATGGACTCAACAGATAAATACAGAATATTCCATCCAAAAACTGTAGAATACACAGTCTATTCAATAGCACATAGAACTTTCTCTAAAATAGACCATACGATAGGCCTCAATAAATTTAAGAAAATTGAAAGTATATCAAGCACTATCCCAGACCACAGTGGAATACAACTGGAAATCAACTTCAAAAGGAAATCAACCATGCAAATACGTGGAAATTAAATAACCTGTTCCTGAATGATCACTGGGTCAAAAACGAAAGGATGGAAATTTAAAAATTCTTCAAACTAAACGTTACACAACCTATCAAAACCTCTGTGACACAGCAAAGGTGGTGCTGAGAAGAAAGTTCATAGCCCTAAACTCCTACACCAAAAAGACTGAAAGAGCAGAAACTGACACTCTAAGGTCACACCTCAAGAAGCCAGAGAAACAAGAACACACCTAACTCAAACCCGGCAGAAGAAAGGAAATAACCAAGATCATTACAGAACTAAATGAAATTAAAGCCAAAAAAATACAACAAATAAATGAAACAAAAAGCTGGTTCTTTGAATAGATAAATAAAATTGTAGATCATTAGCAAGATAACCTCCATAATAAATGAACCTCCATAATAAATGAAATGGGAGATATTACAACTGACACCACAGAAATACAAAAGATCATGCAATGCTACTGTATTAGAGTTCTCTAGAGGGACAGGACTTAAAGAATATAGATATAGTCTATATAAACATAAAGGGGAGTTTATTAAGTACTAACTAACACAATCACAACATCACACAATAAGCTGTCTACAAGCTGAGGAGCAAGGAGAGCCAGTCCAAGTCTCAAAACTGAAGAACTTGGAGTCCAATGTTTGAGGGCAGGAAGCATCCAGCACAGGAAAAAGGTGTAGGCTGGGAGGCTCCAGGAAAAAGGTGTAGGCTGGGAGGCTCCACCTTTTCACATTTTTTGACTGCTTTATATTTGCTGGCAGCTGATTAGATGGTGCCCACCAGTTTAAAGCTGGATCTGCCTTCCCCAGCCCACTGATTCAAATGTTAATCTCTGTTGGCAACATTCTCACAGACATATCCAGGATCAATACTTAGTATCCTTCAATACAATCAAGTTGATACTCAGTATTAACAATCACAAGTCCACCCCCTGTCAAACTGAATGCACAGACATCTCCTGAGATCATGCATAATCTTCAAATAAAAACAATAATAAGGTCATAATTAAATCTAACCTAATACAACTAACCATCCTTCCTACAACCAGAAACACACCAATCCCTAACTACATACTATCACATAAAGTTAACAATACTTTAATGCTGATATGAAGTCAATAAATCTTATGTCACATGATAAAGGAAAAGGATATAAAATAAAGAAATTTTCATTATACAAGTGTATACATATACAAACATATTTTTAGCAAAAGAAGGAGGAAATATGACCATTACAGTCCCCATTTCTGCAGCTGGTCACGTGGTGGTAGCTGTTATTGATGACTACCTTCTTCTACTAACTATTCTGTATTCCCTTTGCCTTCAGCAAGCACCTCAGCAGGTCGTAGTTTTTTTCCCTGGTGGAGTGACCCAAACCTTCACTCCTGAGGGGTCCGGACCATTTGTAGTCCTGCCTGGATTGAGCTGTTGTAGTTTTCATTGACCTTAATCACAGGGCATGGTAATACTAAGATATACCCAAATGGATCTCCTGTATTCCATACATACTGTTCCTTACCTCTGCTGTGAAGTAGTAGACTGATTTCATCTTGATAGTCTGGGTCAGTCACCCCAGTCAACACTGTAACTCCTATGTTAGCTTGTTGGTTTAAAGGTAAGAGGAGCTCAAAGTGTCCAGGTGGCAGTCTTAACTTCTAGTTCAATGAAATCGTAGCTTTGTTCCCTCTGGAACTAAGGCTACTAGGCCTGCAGAACTTAATATTGCAGTACAGGAAACAAAACTTTTGCTAGTGGATCACTAGAAGTGATGGTGAGTGATGCCATCTCCACTTCTACCCCTTGTTTACTGGAACCATGCATGAATCCT